TCATTGTTTTATATAAAACTGTCTGTATAGGATTTTGTCTATACGGTCAAATTATCATTGAAGTCAATGTCATAATTTGTAGTATCGGGTATTATGTTAAGCCCATATACCTTATTCTCGCTTTCTGACAGGCCAATCTATTCACTTTACTTGAGTCACACTTTGACCTTGTTGATTATTCGTTTATCAGTCTTGCATGTTTTTATGTGAGGGCATATGTATGTGTTCACTTCTTATCCTATTCATCACGTCTGTAGCATATTTTTGTGTGACTATAAATATTGATTAACACTTAATTAAATGGAGTTGACTCACTATGGTGATTAGGAGTATTTGAATTATAGTATGAATTAAGAATCCCAGAAATAACGTAATCGGATCAACAAGTACTAGATAACCACAAATGAATGTACTGTATTTAGAATTCGAAATCAAGCATTCAACAAGTACAAAGGAATCAATAGTTCATTCAAACACCACACCCACACACCTTATCCACCGCGCGTTATTTCGCTTCACTCTCTTCTCTTTGCTTCCTCTATATTTTGTCTGGATCAGTGATTGTATGAAATATACATATCCGAAATTCATTCTCGTATTTGACGTATTTAATTCCGTTATTGACTAACGCGATTTAATTCGATGAAATATACGAGGATAGGCGACATATATATTTCGACAGCAACCGTTCAATAACGAACATTCATACGATGTAATTAGAATCAAATCCCGAGTGACTGAAGTAGTGAGCCCGTCAACTACATCGTCCCATCTAAAGGACGATAAAATAAAGGGTCTGACAAGAATTTATGATATAAGTCAATGAATCAAAAATATCATTCAATTATCAAAGTAACCTATTTAGTTATCATACTTTGCATATATGTAAATTTAAATAAGATTTTGGCAAGTCAGATTTTAAGTTTTTTTTTATTAAGAACTATTTGTTTTTTAGATGAAATTTAATAAATTCCAAGTTCGTTACTCAACTGAATCTACAATAATAGCAATAATAATGGTATCATTTTCAATCAGATGTAGGTTTCTTGTCCGTTTTACTCGGATTAATGAAAGAACAATGAACATAATCGAATGATACGAATTTATTATATTTCGTGGTTCCTCATCAGTCATCAACTAAATTTATATATCCAAAAGAATTCAGTTATCAGTCTTGCTTTGCCGTGGTGACATCATATTCGTCAATGTTTGTTACACAATTCTTTACATGACACTATTTGTTAATCTTTACCTCTTATCTGATTTGTACTTAGTTGATTTTGTTTCTGAGAATTATGTAACTAGAACATTAATATTTCATTTCTAAATGTTATATTCCGACGAGAATTATGAATGGTAACTTTTGAGAAATATTTATGGACCAATACGATACACAAATATTTTTGCTGTATAATTGTTACGTAGCTAAACTATGTATATTCATGTTTCTTTCATTATAAGCTTTATTGTAACCCATAGACTATTGTTATATCATTTACCGTTCTTGAGTCCTACTTAATCTATTAATTACAGTCTCCCACATTCACAGCCACTTTTGGCTAGATATTGTACAAATGTTATTTTCTATTTTATGGTGTGATGTGATCTGTTTTGTTTGTATATAAATCCAGTATGTTTGAAATACATGAGATCAGTGTTCTGAACTCAACAGGCAAGGATAAACCGGAAGAAGGACTGATAAGGACTGTAGACATCTGGTACGGGTTTTATGCATCATCGGTCTGGTCGATAAGCCACTGTTCTCTTATTGGCAGTATCATAGAATCATATATTAGTGGGGCACAATTTATAACACTAAATAAATTTGCTTCTATGTTCTTAGCTTTTATTCTTGAATATTCTTATATTCAGACTTTAAACGTTCACATTATTTAACACGTAAACATAACTGATTTTTATAACACCATACTTCATCTTGCTAGTATACTCTATAGTAAATAATTCTTGTGTCCATTGTTTGTATCTGTTTCAAGTACTTCTATTCATTTGTGTATGCTAAATTCAGTACAATCTAACTTTTCTGAAATCACAGTTTCGAAGTTATCTTGGGACTGAAATACAATCGAAATTTTATTTTCTTATTATGACCGCGCGATATTTCATAAACTATCAGTCATTTATGATTCATTCTAAAGTATATAAAATCCCGTGACAAATGTTTGTATGGTTACACTTTGTGGGTTGCATAACATACAAGTGTACCTCATTTAATTGAACGGAATTATACCCCACAATTGAGAATGCAATTAGTTTGAACTGTTTTATTCTTTTAAATAATAGATTTATTACGAGAATTTCACTATTCTTTTACAGTCCGTCAGTGGTGTAGTTAAGGTTTTCAATGGATTGATATACCGTATTTGTTCGACTAAGTGACTTTTTATTTCCATTGAATGTAATCATCTTATTATGGTTGTACATATGAGACGTTTAGATTAGATTTGTTTACATAACATTTTATGGATTGTGATAATGTTTAATATTTATTTGTGAAGTATGAACAATTATTTATGCAGAATTTTAATTCAAACTAATTGATATAGGAGTATAGTATATAGACAAACTGAAATAAACTCATCGACGTTTTGGTCAATCAGGTTTAGAGACTTAATGTTTAGGTCACGTTTAAGGGTTTATGGCTTTAGGAGCAAGGTCTATCTGCAAGTTATATGCACGCTACACATTAAGAACTGAGCATTTGAAACGTTCATATGATATCAGAAAACTTAGTTTTTCGTTTTGATTTTTAACATTTTAAGTATTGTACAAGGGAATTTGTACTCCTCGTCCTACGTGAAATGAGATAAGAATCATTTATTTTCGAATTTAGTTCAAAAAACCTAACAGTCATTTTACTGATTTTAATCAGCTCTTTCGTACAATATGCTTTTACTCTAATTTATTTTGATGACTTTTACAACAACGAAAACTTCGTGGAACGTTTTGAAATAATATTCAACCTTAATGCATTTTTGGCATCACACCAGAACAAGTCATATAAACAAATTGTATGTTTTATCAATAAATCCTCATTAATGTTTGTAGTTATACACCCAAGTTAGTGATTTAAAAAGAAGTGTTCAAGTCTAGAGAAAACATCTCATTCGTAATGATGGTACATATAATTAGAATTCATTATAATATAGAATACAATTATTAATTTCAATAAAGTAAAAATAATTAATACAATAAATCGTATCCAGTAAATATTGTTGTTATTCCTTTGTTTATGTTTGTAAAGGGAATCAATTGTATTATTATTAATTTATTGATTATTACATCTTTGAGGATTGATTCCTGTTATGGTATGCGTTGTTTGAAAATGTGATACTATACAAACTATGCTTTGCGCTAACCCCGTAAACAACCAACTGACTACTTGAGCGAGAACACAAGAGTGAGAGAGAAAGTGTACTGGGTTATTAAATGGAATATACGAATACTTATTCATATATATAACACTCTATCCTTAGGAAATTAACTTACTGACCACAATGAAATATATTTGACGTTTGGGTCACTTCTGACTGCCATGGACTGACCTTTTCATTAGGTTACTTCTGACTTGCCCTCCATATCAATCCTACTTTACTTTAAGATCTTTTAGTACTGGAACAGTTGCGATCTTTAGTGAGCGGTAGCTAATCTCTTGATTTCATCATCAATATCGTGAGATTACCCGAACATGATAATGTGGAGATATGACTGACAAGCTTATTTTGTAAATAGTTTTTAATATTATTTGTATTTATTTTGTCAATTTCTCACTGCATGTACATTTATCATCAAATTATTGTACCTTTTGTTTAAGTAAATGACCTTGAAGACTTTCTCCGTCGTGATACTACATAGCGTGACATATCGTTGCTGGTTAACAAACACACTGCTTCTCTCACATTCCCCGTTCTATTTTTATTCGAGATTGAGTTAACTGAGATCTAAAACAAATATTATTTACATTCATAGACTGTGAGAGCGAATACACCATATCTTACTTTGGATTACACCACTGGGGAGTTCATCGATACGTTTGGAATTACTAAGCATCTATAATTGTGGATTTATTGTACCAGATTAAAGCCGAACACGCAGCATTTTGGGTGAACTTAAGTAAAGTCCCATTTTTATTGTATTTGTAACATTTAACTGATATATATTAATATTATTATTGCTTTCTACTAACTTTGTTGATACTTTTTGCATTTATATATCTTCTGGTCCACCACAATAATAAAGATTCGAGATAAGACTGAGATGTATCTTTAAGAATTTAAGTCTAAATGATGTTTATAATCTTTTAGCATTCTACACATCATTCTAATGAAATAGTAACATTAGAAAACCTCAAGCTGAAATATGCATTCATTTAATTTGGAATTAGTCATCTAAAAATGTATGATATATAAACATTGATAGTTAATAGAACTCTCATTTTATTCAGAAAGATACTCATAATCAAACTAAAATAGAATAGTATCCAGAAGGTGTTTTGTGAATATTATAGTAATTTCAGTAGTTGAGATCATGAATCACTTGTTAAATCTAGAAGCACTGAATGGTCATTTCGTTGTATTGTAGGACTCCTGAGCAGTGCGTATCCACGATCCCGCCCAGGACCTATCAGTCTCGCGCGCGAGCGCCTAACCATTAGACCACTGAGTCGGCATCCAATGAGATCGTGGATGCGCACTGCTGAAAAGTTCCACAATAGGACGAAACGGCCGTCCAGTGCTTCCAGGTTTTCCATGGTGGTCTAGCTTCAATTGACTCATGATTTCAACCTGTGAAATTTCTAAAATCTCCACAAAACCCCTTCTGATAATTTATTATTGTCAAAAATACAGAATACAATATTTTGTATGTTAAGTTGTTTTTTTTATTTATAATTTTATTCAAAGGTTAAAACTAAAATTATGTTATACCAATTATTCAAGTATTTAGTTACGTGTTGGATTAACTATACTGCAATAAATTCACTCTCATATTGATGTATCGTAATAGTATTCTGGCATTTGGAGTTCTCTAATATTATCATCTACTAGTAAAACTGTTTAAAATATAAAATAAAAAATAAAAAAAATAATTAAGTCAAATTTGTTTTGATTACTTTTAAGGAAAAATTTTTTACTTATAAAAGGTGAATTAAATTCTTCATTTATACCATCAGAGAAGGGTTTTTATGGATATTACAGTAATTTAATAGTTGAATTCATGAGTCTATTGAAGCTAGACTATCATCTAAAACTTGAAAGCACTGAACGGCCGTTTCCTCTTTAGTCGGGGACTCCTCAGTAGTGTGATTCCACGATTTCAGGATATCTAGTAAGAAGCAGTGACAAGTGGAGTTCAACCAGGTCTGTTGTAAGATAGTAACTCACTGATGACAATGGTGGACGGTGGTGAAACTTCGTGGATTGGTTGAAGTTAGACATCAGTGGTCTCAGTGGTCTAGAAGTTAAGCGTTCGCGTGCGAGACTCATAGATCTTGGGTTCGAATCTCTCGAGAAGGGATCGTGGATATGCACTGGTGAGGTCCTTACCTTATTCACAAATAGTGAAAGTATCATCCACATATCTCTTATATAGATGAAATCTTTTAATTATTTGTCAAAGCACCGTATTTTCTAGATTGGCCATGAAACAATCGATCAAGGGTGGCGGTAGTGAACCCATTTCAACTCAGTCAGTTTGTCAATAGGAATCGTTATTAAATCTGAGTTAAACATTCGGAGTACATCGTAGAAATAGCTCTTTTAGATAATGCTTCGGGATATAAATATCAAATTTGTTATGTTCAATATAGTTACATAAAAAACACATAGTTTTTGTGTGTCGAACATTTGTAAAGAGAGGATTGACATCCAATGAGATCATTTTTTAACCATTTACATTGATATTTCTAACTGAGTCAACAAAGTCAAATGAATCAAGAAAGTTGCACCTATTAAGGTGATTTCTAACTGGCTTTAAAATTTCAACTAACCATTTAGCAATCAAATGATACGGAGAGCTATTCATATCAAGTATAGGACGTAGGGGAACGTTCTTCTCATGAACTATTGGGAGTCTGTATAGTTTCGATATAGTGAAACCCAATGGTCTGAGATGTTCACAGATGTCATAACTGGTAACGGATTCATCCTTCATCTTCCTTGGTTAAAATTTGTTCCGTCTTCTCAGTTGCACATTTATGCATGGTTTCTTTAGAGAATTTGACAGAATCTGATAATTTTGTGGATAATTTGATAACATAGTTATGACAATCTATAAGAACAATTCTATCACCTTTGTCTGGGAGACACAGTTCTAAATTTTGATCTCTAAGATGATCAATTAGTTGAGATTTATGTTCTTTTTTAAGTAATCGTCCAGTTTTAGGTATTGTGTTTACATATTGACTACAACAGTCTACACGTAACTTATGGTTGCTTTTTTCACTTATGATATTCAAACATGAATCTAATTCGTTCACAAACTAAGTAATTATAACATTGTTTGTATAAATCAAACTGTGATGAAAAGCAATCCTTCATACATGAATTTTATCACTTATGAAAGTTGGAATTCAGCTCTATCTCCAGGTTAATGTTTAAGACCCGAGGGTCAGATAAAACATTCATAAAGTACATATGATTTAAATTTTGATAGTTTCGCTGACACCGATTAATTAAGGTGGTCAATGGAATGATTTTCATTTCTCATTTTTACAAATGTCTATACGTTGTGTGATATATCTGGTAACCAAAAAGTTCAAAATACTATACAATACCAAATGACTGTTTATTGAAACAAATTTAATTCAACATTAATCAGTATGATTCTTAATTTGATATTTTAGTGGTTGAAATCATGAGTCAGTTGAAGCTAGACCACCATGGAAAACCTGGAAGTACTGAAGGGCCGTTTCGTCCTAGTATGGGATTCCTCAGCAGGGCATATCCACGATACCGCCCCCGCGAGATTTGAACCCAGAACCTATCAGTCTCTCACGCGAACGCTTAACTTCTAGACCAATGAACCGGCATCCAACGGTGTTGATGTCTAACTTCAACCAATCCATGAAGTTGTGCCACCATCCACCATTGTCTTCAGTGAGCTGATATCTCACAACAGACCTGGTTGAACTCCAGTGGTCGTGGCTTCTCATTAAAACTCCAGTGCTTCCAGATTTTCGATGGTGGTCTAGCTTCAATTAACTCATGATTTCAACTATTGAAATTTCTAAAATCTCCACAAAACCCCTACTGATATTTTGGTTTTCTAGATTGTTGATTTCATTGAGTAACCGTAGACGTAAATAAATAAATCTAAACTATCTGGAATTTATAGTGAACAATTTGACTTAGATACATGAATTATCATTAACATAAATTTTGTGAGGTTAATAATGCTCCATATTATAATTTGATATAAGACGGATCAAACTATAGAAATGACTAGAAATAAATGTTTGGTTACTCTCTGAGAAAATATTACTACTTATGAATGGGTAGTTTTAATGACACCTTGACGGTATGAAAAATAAGACTCAGATCCTACTTAATAATTCTTTTAAGAGATTATGATTTTGTATCAGTAGAATAAAAAAATTCCAATTTATTCTGTTGTTATTTTAATTTTCAGTGAACTTAATACATGATGAACGATTAGTGGATCAACTATTTTAATATGTATAGCATTTATCTAGGTATCTTTATTACTACGGCGAAGAATATATTCAGAAATCAAGCTGCCTCCTCATTAATTTTCAGAAAGACATCCTAATAGTCTGAATGTTATATAAGTCTTTTGTTAGATCTAAATTAACGCAGATTAATGGACAGTTTAAAGACAATTATCAACGTATTCATTTTATAAATATCACAGAGTATTACGTAAACAAACATTCAAGTCAAAACTCACATGCCATAAGTTGTACGAACTTCCTATAGTAGAAACGCAAGTTATAAATAGATATCATGTATTCTTGAATTATTATTTATGGTGTACTAAATGAATTAAGAAATTTCATTTCCATAAAAATGAATGATCAGAACGTAGATGGTTTGAAATCGAAACCTATGTTAGGGATTTTAGTGTTCATATATACATATTTATACTTTTCCTTGTGATAGTTGCTATTTATTAATCCCAATTTTCACAAGAACATTTTGAGGATAAATGCAATTCAAGTTTGTAGTCTAGATAGATAATATATATCCTGGCCTAACAAATCATCAAAAGTAAGTAACTAGGTGGATGAATAGAATTATTTATATATGATTAGATGTGCAGTTGTATGATGTATAATGTTGTTCAGGATAATGATGAAAGCTCCATGACCAAATCATCCGTCTCAGAGAACAAAACTCCATTAAAATCATCCACCTGAGCTACACACTCTTCTCCATCATCTCAAAAGAATTGATGAATTATACCCACTGTTTTGTCTATGTATATTTGTAATGTGAAATTTTTCTAATCAACCACTGTATATTCTTGAGTTGAGATTTCCATCTCTTAATTAATTAATGTAGATGACAGTACTTCTAGATCACCTAGATTTTTATTTTAAAAGTGTCTCATTTTCCTATTAGTGATATTAATAATAAAAATCTAGTCTTGTAGATCACGAGCTAAAAGTGCTGAGAAGAATATAATCAACTTTATGAATCAATGAAACGTCTATGTAAAACAACTAAATTGAAAGATTGAATGAAATGATCATCTGGTTTATTTAGTTAAAGAAGTAATTATGGGGCTGAAGAATAGAACACTAAACTTACTCGGCTATGTAGTATAGGGGGCTGATTAAAACAAATATTGAAAAAATCGTAATAAACAGTCATTTTAGAAGACAACTCAAAATAAATGCAAAAAGTGTATACTATCTACAACAAAAACGCGTATTTCCACATATTTTAGCTATCATAGACTAATTATATCAGGTTTACATATTATAAGAATGTGTAACCACAGATGGGGATTAGACTTGAAGCTAAATCAGCTGCACATGTAAATAAAAGTACATGGTGCAGTTTGTGATCTAATACAAATTAATAGTTATTTGATGTCTTTTTTATCTGTAATGCCAATTTGAGACAAAAATAGAGTCGTATGGGTTTCTCATGTCTATATATTTGACTGTTATCAACTTTGCTTCATTTCTTACTTAGATTTTTGAAAATTTTCAAGATCTTTTGAAGCCTTAAATCTATTTAATCTATCTAATTATATTCACAAGTGCATGTGAATGTGAAACAATACAAGGAAATTGTAAGAATAGGTTGGTAAAATACTTTCTAAATGTAACTATATGGCTTTCTATCAAAATATCAAGTCGGTCAACAATCATAGTTATAGATCACTGATGCTATAGGTCTATTAGACGTTAGCATTTCTTTATATCTTAGAGTCTCCCTCAAATTTTGGTTATACTTTTAATCTTGTATCGAACTATATGTCAATTATTAAAATAGAATTTAAAGAATTGAAGCTGACATTCCACAATCCGTTGGATGAAACGGATCAGTATTGTGTCAAATTTTTTTCCAGATGATAATCTGCTAAAAAATATTGAGTTACAAAAGAGAAATCGAGCGACCAAAGTTCTATATTTAGATGTAACTGACATATAAAAATAGGGGATAACTGACTATCATGTTTCAACAAGAATTTTGAAATAATTGGATAATACAAATATCAGTATACATGCATTAAAAGCAAAAACGTGTTACACGTACATTTGCAGATCGCTGAGTATTGACCAATGTTATGTTTGCTTAGCCCTTTATTGTTGATCGAATTCTATAGATCAGTTTGAAATGTCAACATTAATCTAAATGACCCGATATCCTACAGGTCACTTGAGGCACGGATAACAAAATGGCAACATCTCAGACCATGAAATTGAATGAAACTGATCTGAATCCCACAGGAAACACCAGTTCGCTCAAGAATAAAAATATGCCTTGCTAACAACTGAAAACTATCGGAAACCGAAATCAGATGTTTCCTAACGCTTTCTAATAAAGGTTCAGACGTAAAATTATTGAACTACATACAGTAAAAAATCAAATCATGGCAAGATTTGAGATATTAAAGTCAATATAGCAGATGAATAGATAAACGGATAAGGTAACAGATCCTAAAAAACAACTAAATTTTGATTTATCTAGATATAAATGAAATAATTCAAGGTAATCCGGCAACCTACAGATTTCAAGTCAATGTAACATTATTATTGAGTTTCTATTTTAGCCACTGTAATTACCTATTGTTTGAAATTGAAAAGCTTGCACATTTAAAAGTGAGTTATCATCTAGTTCATTAAGATTAATTCCATAAACCAATTATTCCTAGAAATAAATAAACTGACAGACTCACTTTACAATCCATAAAGGAATCCTAAGTGACATGGAAATTTGAAATATACATTATTTACCATGTACCGAATGTAATATTCAAGGATTAGAAATTATTATCAGAATGGGTTTTGTGGAGATTTTAGTAATTCTATAATTGAATTCATGAGTCAAGTGAAGCTAGACCACCATGGAAAATCTGGAAGCACTGGACGGCCATTCCATCCTCTTATGGAACTCCTCAACATTGTGTATCCACGATCCCGCTCCGCTAGATTCGAACCCAGGACGTATGTGTCTCTCACGCGAGCACTTAACGTCTACACTACTAGGCCGGCGGGCAACCAACGCTGTTAATGTCTAACTTCAACCAATCCACGAAGTTGCGCCACCGCCCACCATTGTTACCAATGAGTTACTATCTCACAATACACCCGAGTGAACTCCATTGGTCACGCCTTCTGGCTGGAACTCCAGGAAATACATCTTGAAGCCAGTCTCGCTGAGCGGGGTCGTGGATGCGCACTGCTGAGGAGTCCTATACTAGAACGGAACGACCATCCAGTGCTCCCAGATTAGAAATTAGTTGAATTGTTTATAATAGAAATCAGAAGTAAATTTTACAGATTTTATTTATTATTAAAATAACAAACTAAATGGTCAAAAATTAAATTTATTAGTCAATTGTACAGTTACGTAGAAATATTCACAAGAAACTCTATAGGGTTTCGTTAGAAATATAGAACTTCCATCGACATTCTTCAATGTAATAATAATAATGATAATATTAAATATAACCTATAGTTCAAATATCGAAACCTAGCTGATATTGAATATACCAAATTGATAATGATAAATATTAAAAGAAATTATTCAGATATTGTTTAACTTACCACGGCTTATTGAAGAAGAAACTTTAATCGGAATAATAAAAAATAATTAATGGAAGATCAATTTTCAATAATTAATTCATCTTAATGTCAACATTTTATAAAGCTTATATAAAGGCTAAAGAATTTATATTACCATGATACTTATATCTAAAGTAGTTTTATATTGAACCGTCTGATTAATATGTAATGTTGTTTAGGCTTACAAGCTAAATTACTCGGTAATTGTGTAGTAAATGATTTGTTCTCATTTTAATAGCATTATACATCATGAGCAAATATGTATAGTGATTAGCAGGGGAATCCAAGACACGCGTTTCTTCCTACTTGAGAATCGTCAGCTGGATGTACCTGCACCTCACAGTTGTTGTTTACTCTGATATTCGAACCCAGTAACGTCTGATCCAGTCACCATCACCTCATCTACTTAGCTACTGAGTCCTGACAATCACTAGTTTGTGCAATAAGGTGAAGTTTAAATTCATTTTGTATTGTTTGTTTGAATCTTCTCATTGATGTTTAGGACTGCAACCAATCAGTCCATTATTGGCATATGTACACCCTGTGCATATTTCCTCGATATTGTCTTAAGTCATAAGCATTATAAGTACTTAATCATAAACATTTTTTAGTTAATCCGATCATGTCAGACTGTACTAAGAACAAATTTCAAAAATACTAAATAATCGCACCAAAAGGATAATGGAAGTAATTATAATGTAAATTAAAGTGTTATTCCCGTAAAAAAAATCAAAATTTCTAAGAGCCATATTGAATATTGGGACTTGGACCCAGTACCATTCGCTTCAAACTTCATTACGTGCATCCAACCGACGAGTCAGAATCGGGATGAAACGCGAGACCTGGATTCTACTTCTAGCTACCATCATCTCTGATTATATAGCTTGTGATTTAACACAATATCGAAGCAATCGTAACAGGATGCATATATGCCAATATAAGATTGATTAATTGCAGTCCTAAACATCAATAAGGAGATACAAAGAAACAATACAAAATGAATTTAGTATTCATTATTGTTTGAAGTTTTAAAATATTCTCCGAGTTTGTTTTTTTATTGTGCATTGTGAGTGAAAATATTTCATTGTCTTTCCGGAAAGTATTATTAGTGTAACTTACAAATTAAGTGAACTGTTCGAATTCCTATGCAGTTAACTTGTAGGTAGATCTTAATTATTTTTGAGTTCAAAAGCTTGCTACTATTAGTTACATTAATATTACTCACATAATTATTTCAATTCAATGTGAAACGATACAATCTATGATGTCACAAACTACAAAAGAATCAAAATCATCTTCGATGTCTAGAAATTCTGTATCATCATTAATACATTACAAGTTTCTCATAATCGTTTTCTTGTTACACTATCCAGATTTATCAAAAAGACTAATTGCTTTGTAAATAATTTGAATGTTGTTTAGATAACTGACCGTACAAAATGGAATCAACAAATAAAAGGTTGAAAACTATAGACAAATAACATGGTTGCGTCATTTAGCTCAACAATAATTTGATTTCGTCTTGTTGTTGTTTTGATCTTCCGATTGACGTTTAGGACTGCAATTGATTAATCTCTTATTAGCATAAACATCTTATGCGGATTACCTCGTTACTGCCGTTAATTGAAATGAAATATTCGTTGTTGACATAAACGGTGTTGATAATGATGGGTTAAATTCTAAAATGAACATCCGAAATGACTGCATACTTTATGTTCAATACTTTTCAATTTCTAATTTGTTATTTACTAGTTACATAAAATTATTATTCAGCAGTATGAAAGCAGATTGCATCATTAATAACTTACATATCTGATATGGAATGAACTCTATAAAAAAGAAAAAACATTTATTCCCTAGCATCTTTAAAAGATTTTCAGCCATAATTTAAAGAAACGATAATATTTATTATATTGAAATATATTCTTGAGTAGAAAACGATACACTGTAACATTTCAACACGAAGTTAACGTGTCTCTAAGAAAGTATAACAACTTCAAGAAAACCGGATAACAAGAAATCATTTATATATAAAGGAAGGAAAACACGGCATAAAATGTATCGAGACTGAGTGATTCAAATACATGAAAAAGTTTAATCAAAAATGAGAAAAATGGAAAGCTATCACAAGAGAAAGCGAAATATTAAAAATATGGAAAAATCTTAAAAAGATAGAAAGAACTACCCCAAAATCAACAGAATGGTGAGAAAAAAACATAAAAAGAAATGTAAAAAAGTCCCAAAAGTAAAAAATAAATTAATCTACAAATTGAACATGACTATTCAAAAAAACGAAAGGAGACCATTCGCATTTCAGATGTTCATTCTAACACTAATGAGCATTATCCAGACAATATTAAACATAACTTCAAAAGAGAATCTGAGATACATTCAATGAAGCTGTCGTACGAGGAATTGCAAAAGCCCAACATTCATTTAAGTTGTGGTGGTTGTGGCATTTTCACTAACTGATTATTCCTTTGTATTTGATAGCGTGCTCATTACGAATTCCAAATATAATACGTTTGGTTGTGCTCATCGACTTCTACCTATCTTGAATTGGACTATTGTGGGAATTTTCAGATAGCACACCGATTCCAATACTTCTGATTATCGTATTGTCACGATTCGACTGTACGCTTTATTTGAACAATCTGAAGTTGTCGAATGGATTGTAATTAGAACTTTTGTCAATCATTTCACACTCTAATGCACAAAAACCATAATATAATTCTGCTCCTATATATATGCAGTTTGAACAAAGACATACAAGTCACAGTCATTATAACATCCAACTCGATCGTGAATAAAGTAATTCGAGCAATAATAGAATGAAATCAACTCACCTGTCTGATGTCTCATTATCTACATGCCTTTAAACAAACACAAAAAATAAACTGCCTTTACTTACTATGAAAAGACAACTGAACACTTGAAAACAGTCGAGTGATTGAAGCCACAAGGATCTCACGACTAATTCGAACACACCTTACATTTTGAAGTTGTGATAAGGATTTCTCATCTGATATCTCCTGTCGTCTCCAACTTGTGCATTTATCCTCCATTAACTATTCACATATATGAACCACGCTTTTAATATATCACACTCGGTAGATAGAATTGATGTGGTCACCGATTCCCGACAATCATTCAGAATCACCTCCACATTTCAATGCACAGAACACATTCCACATACACACACACATACACACATGGAGGTCAAACACTGACTGATTAATTTAAATGAATAAGACATTCAACTGAACAGTGGACAACACACTTCAAGGAATTATATTGTGCCACAAATTCATCAATTCCAATCTGAATTTATATAGGCAAGAAAACAAACTCTCTTTAAATATATCAAAATGTGATAATTGTGAAAAGTCAACTTCAATATTTAAATTGTGTTGTGACGAATGTTTCGACAGGAGAACGTAAATGAACAATGTTTTGTATTGATTCGATGCCGAAATAGTATATTTCAGTTTGGTTTCGTTTGACTTTGTAAATATCTCCGTCCTCCTTGGTTTAAATATGTTCCGATGACGAGTGTCTAAATCAACTCACATCATACAACTCCTACTATCAGTGGATTTCAGGTTATTTCCATGGTTATTATCAATTCCTGTGTTCCAAGCATCTAAATAATTGAGGTTTAGGGTTCAGGATGGTGGTTCCATTCAGTGTTCAGTGTGTTGCTACAACTGGAATTTAGTGTATCTCAGTGCCATTCTATGACAGCGAGAGCGTACCGTTCAGACTCGATAAATGTTAAACATATAGGATAAAAAATGAATCAATGACAAGTGTCAGTTCACTCACTTTTGCACTGGACGTTTGGAGACTTCTCTAAATAATAGAAATGAGATCGAATTTCCTCATCGTAATGTGAGTCATATATTTGTTGGTGTTTAAATTACAATGAGTCTACTACCAATATTCATACTACCTAAGGAATCATTAATTCTGACCATGTTGCCTGATACTGCATTGTTATTGATGTTCTATTCATTTAACAGTTCACAATTCATGGGTTTTATCACGAATCTCTCTCCATCAAATAATACATAGTTTGTCTGACTTTCAGTAGATTATGATGGCTTTTCTGAATAACTTCCTTAAGAATCTGTGTTTTAGATTTACTAATGAAAGCATTTATAGAATGTTTCGTGATGAATTTAGAAATAGCCAAGGAGAAATTTACTCGCTTTTGTACAAGATGGTTGCCATTATCACTGGACAGTGCAGATGAGATGAATAAGTTTAATATGAGTAAGCGAGATCATTATGAATAGGTGGTAATCTCAGAATTTAATTGATCCAAATTGATAAAATAGTGGATAAGACATATAGACAAATATAGAAATTGAACACGAACCGATAAATTATGGGAAACAAACTAGAAGAATGAATTTGTGAAACAACGAAAAACTCAATATGATAAATGACTACAGACGATTGACTCACTTCTGAATAGGTTGTTTATCATGCATACTATATAGGAGAATTAAGATAAACCACTTTTAGACAGTCAGGTGAGATTATAGTAGACAAGTGAATTTCACAAATTGTTTGTACCATTCTCTCTTGCAAAACGCTCACATGCAGTTGAATGACAACAGTCTCCTTCAGACAATCTGTATTCACTCTCTTTATAACTGTAGCGTGTTCACATAGCATTGAAGTGGATGGAGAGATGCATACTTGACAATGACTATTTCATAAAGTTTATTAGAAAACACAATAAACCAAAGAAAGTAAGCGTCAAACCGAGTGATTATCTTCAAGGAGAGAATGTTGTTTAAACTTCCGTTTAAAGATGACAAAAGTCAATTGCATAACAGTTTGAATAAAAGACAATCGTTTGGTGATGTGTCTTTCTTCAAACCTTCATACGGAGAGACGTTTAACTAATGATAATCTCCGTCCTCGTGAAAACATGCGAAACAATCCATTGAAGAATTGCAAATCAGTATATAAAGGTGAGCACAATTTTGGTAAATGTTTATAATGTGGTAAACGTCATTCACATAATTCATGTTTATTTCATCATGCTAAATGCTTCAATTACGGCGAACTATGGTATATCAAGTCAGTGGGTTGAACAACCGTTCATTTAACCTCTAGTGATAATAAACTTTGTAGTTCGGATCCTATCAGTTTGGGTGACTCTAATCATCACATACTATCCTTGTTTACGACTCCGAGTAGTTCACTTCACATCCGAAAACCACTTTACTTGTGCAATGGTGCTTTTCATGATTTCATTGTTGACACTGGTAATATCAAATCTATCATTGCAGTCGGAAAATTGAAATCATCAGATTTCAGTGCTCTTAATAAAACTGTCGATGTTTATATTTCGAGTATTATTGGTGATAAAATTCGGATTCTTGAATGTTTTGATTTGCTGATCAGAGGTGATAAGTCTTCAACCATAACTTGTCAGTTTCTCATCACTAATGGTGGACCGTCTATCCTCGGATTAGATCACATAAAATGTCATCAAGCACAACTTCCGTTATTGACCTGTGTAGACAATTCCAATAAAATGCCAGATAAATTGTTTGCTGGACAATCTAAGTGTGAATAGTTGTGCACAACCCCATCACTCTCTTATTCTGATTTTCCGGTTGGAAGTTTCAACACCTTGAAAACAACAATCAGTTCTATTACTGCTGTGAAATTCAAAGGCCCGGAGAGAAGAGTAGAATAAATTTATTGGTATAGAAATGAAGACCGTACTCATGGAAATAATAAAAAATTGCCTAAAACATAATGTGTTCGTCCAAACATAGAATGTGGACAGTCTGCTGACGTCACATACATTCAAGAAACTGAGGTTTGACAATCCAAGAAAATTAATAATTCTATGGTTCGTACGCATGACAGTCACATCAGACAAATATTTTAAAAGGACCAAAAGAGTTCATTCCAATTTCCATTGTTCATTCTAACACTAATGAGCATTATCCAGACAATATTAAACATAACTTCAAAAGAGAATCTGAGATACATTCAATGAAGCTGTCGTACGAGGAATTGCAAAAGCCCAACATTCATTTAAGTTGTGGTGGTTGTGGCATTTTACTAACTGATTATTCCTTTGTATTTGATAGCGTGCTCATTACGAATTCCAAATATAATACGTTTGGTTGTGCTCATCGACTTCTACCTATCTTGAATTGGACTATTGTGGGAATTTTCAGATAGCACACCGATTCCAATACTTCTGATTATCGTATTGTCACGATTCGACTGTACGCTTTATTTGAACAATCTGAAGTTGTCGAATGGATTGTAATTAGAACTTTTGTCAATCATTTCACACTCTAATGCACAAAAACCATAATATAATTCTGCTCCTATATATATGCAGTTTGAACAAAGACATACAAGTCACAGTCATTATAACATCCAACTCGATCGTGAATAAAGTAATTCGAGCAATAATAGAATGAAATCAACTCACCTGTCTGATGTCTCATTATCTACATGCCTTTAAACAAACACAAAAAATAAACTGCCTTTACTTACTATGAAAAGACAACTGAACACTTGAAAACAGTCGAGTGATTGAAGCCACAAGGATCTCACGACTAATTCGAACACACCTTACATTTTGAAGTTGTGATAAGGATTTCTCATCTGATATCTCCTGTCGTCTCCAACTTGTGCATTTATCCTCCATTAACTATTCACATATATGAACCACGCTTTTAATATATCACACTCGGTAGATAGAATTGATGTGGTCACCGATTCCCGACAATCATTCAGAATCACCTCCACATTTCAATGCACAGAACACATTCCACATACACAC